TTATTGGGTAGAATTTTAAAAAATGCCTTGGGGAGTTAGGTACCCAGCTCCTGGGCTTCTAACTCCCTTGAGCACTTGAAAAATCTCACCCATTACTAATGCCTGTTCCATGACTAGATGAGAGCCTCATTCTCCAATGTGCTCATCCCAGATCCTATCCTCACTATAACTCACATACAGCCCAATTTTCGCCATACGTCCTCAGTGCTCACAGCCCTCTGCCTTAACAATTGAATCTTCTCTAGGAAAGAGATGCAAATACTAAGAGAGGTGGTGCCCGATAAGGCAGTCTCCCGGAGCTGTGCTCTGTCGCACAGGCTCAGACATGCAGCGTATGTTAGTTCCTGCTGCCTCTTGCATCTGTTGACTCTGACATTTCAAACAAGGTGTCGCCCCAGCAGCAGCAGGGCTGTGATGCTTCTGTACGGCTCGGTGCGTGTGTGCATGAGCTGAAGTCTGCTTGCTAGCCGTGCAGTAAACACGTTTGTTTTCAGACTACTGATCCTCCAATGAGCAGCTAGGAATAGACCCCGTGGAGCCGGACTCCTAGTCCTCGGCACTAGCCATTGGACAGCATTCCCTCCTGCAAAGAAAAAACATCCTGCAGGATGCCGTGCCATGTGATTCCACACCCCATACAGTGATAAATTGCTGGGCTTCCCTGCACCTTTGCATGCCAGCTGGCAGCAGAGTGCGAGGAGAACATGCTAACTGCACTGGGCTCCTTGGCCTAAGGTTAGAGAAATTTCTCTCTGGAAGCTTGGAAAACCTCGAAAGTGCTCGATTAAAGCTGGTGTGACCTGGTGATGTGCCAGGCCAGGGCAATCACTTGTCTCAATGAATGTTTAATTACAGCCCCTCCCATTAGTTGGAACATGCATCAAAGGTTAAGGGAAATCAACAGGATAGGGAGATACTGGTCTTCTTTTTACTCTGCATCCCAGTGTCAGCCTGCCCAGACATTAGTTAGAGCAGCTAAGGGGCTGCTCTAACTTACTCTAGGGGAGCATTGGTGTAAAGGCATCTGCTCTGGCCTGCTCTTGCCTTGCCTCTTTCACACCCAGCATCTCCCCTTTGCCAGTGACAGTGGCAGGCCCAGAAGCTGGTTCAGTTGGTATATTTGACATTGGGACATCCCCCTCCACAAGGGGAATTCTCTGTTGTCTATTTAGGGCTAGAATCTGTTCACTTTTGCTGACATACTATGGCTGGGTAAATTCATCTTCTACCTATGCACCCCGCCGAGCTGTTAGCAAGGAGGGTGAGCGGCAAAGCTGAGATCTCCCAAATTTGGGGGCATCTGGATCAACCCATTATAATACAGGCAACTGCAAAGTCCCTGTCTGAGCTGCCCCAGTGTAGCGATCTGGGAAGTGTGGTTGCAGCTCAATCCCTACCAAATATAGACAGTGTGTAACAAAATCCTCTGAGCCGATATTTGGCAAAGCCGCACCGCGGACAGTTTGCTCACATATTTCCCTGCAGAATGTAAGTCTCTCTCTTGTTCATATCTGGGGTAAAATAGATACTATGAACCCGATTTGGTTTGCATATCAATGCACTGATAGCCAAGAGTCTCAGAAAAAACAACGAGGCGTCCTTGTGGCACCTTAGAGACTGACACATTTATTCGGGCATAAGCTTTCGTGGGCAGCCCACTTCATCAGATGCATGGAGTGAAAAAGACAGGAGCAGGTATTAGCTAGCGGATAGTCAGGACTCTATCAGGGTACATCTACGCTGCAAACAAACTAACAAAAAATCCCCACAGCAGCAGCTCTCTGAGCCCAGGCTTGGGTTCACAAGGTTCACGCTAAGGTGCTAAGAATAGCAGTGTAGACGTTCCTATTCAGGTTGGAGCTTGAGTTTTGTCAATTGCTATGTGGGGTGGGTCTCAGCTCCTGAGCTTCAGCCAGAGGTGCCGGAGCGTGAGTCAGAGTCTGTAGACCTGGGCTCTGAGACTGGCTGCATGGTAGTTTTTTGCAGCGTAGCTACCCTGTGTTCCTATGGCCCCATGTGCTCTCACACCTTAGTAAATCAGGAGTAGCTCCACTGAAGTCACTGGGGTTTCACCAAGATGGGACTGCAGTGAGATCAGCACTCTAGAGCCAGAAAAGAGACACTAGGTCCCATTTAGTCTGTCCCTTCACCAGGCAGGAGGGTTCCCTCTCTTCTAGCGGTTTGTCTAGTTCCCAATAGTTTTAAATGTCCCCATCACTGGCAATTTTTAAATCAAAATTTGGATGTTCCTTCTAAAAGATCTGCACTTGTTCCAGCAGGAATTCTTTGGGGGCAGTTCTCTGGCCTGTGTTATACAGGAGGTCAGATTAGATGATCACAATGGTCCCTTCTGGCCTTGGAATCTCTGACTCCAAAAGCAATAGGACATCATCCATCACATCCCTTGGCAGATTGTTCCACATCCTCTGATTCCCACCAGCAGGAATTTTATCCTGACGTGCAGTGTGATTTGTCATCAAGTCACTTCATCCCAATGTTCCATTAGCCACCCCTTCTGCCAGCTCAGGCTTATACCCATTGCCATTATCAGTCTGTTCTCCTTTCCCTCACATCAGCTGTTGCCTAACCCAGCTTTATATATTTAATTCTTTTCTTGTAAGTCATTCCCTGGATCATTTTCGTTTGCCCTTTTCTGAACTCCTCTTAGATGTGTCACTATCTTGCTGGAAGTACGTTGCCCAAAGCTGAACACCGTGTTCTAGGTGTGGCCCCACATGAAAGGTGCTAATCAGACAGGTTTTGGCTTGAGGGCATCCATTTTGGCTTTGGCTGGGACATGAGTGAAAAGAAGAGATCAGTATTTAGGAGTCAATCAGCATATGACTGATCGAGTGAAAGCCTTACTGGAAAGTGTGTAAAGTCACAATCTCTCAGGGCAATGTGCTATGTACCTTGCGTAAGCCTGCTTAAGCACGTAGGCAGGAGCGGCGCCAGGGTTTTTGGCACCCTAGGTGGGGGTCCTTCGTCGTTGGCAATTCTGCGGCGGTGGGGGTGTCCTTCCGCGCTCCAGGTCTTCGGGGCACTTCGGTGGCGGGTCCTGGAGCGAGTGAAAGACCCGCCGCAGAATTGCCGCCAAAGACTCGGAGCGCGGAAGGATCCCCCCCCCGCCGCCGAGGGCGGCAAAATGCTGCCCCCCCCAAATCCTGGCGCCCTACGCCTAAATTGAAGTGCCATCCCTGCACGTAGGAATCAGATACCCTGAGGCATGGTAAGATACAATGGAGATAGACAGGGAGTACAGTGCCTTTAAATTAATTGTCCAGCCTCAGCCAAGTACAGCTGAGGCCCCCTAGAGAAAATCAGTTCTGGGGGCAAGGAGAATTTGGCATCCCTGGGCATCTGATTGCTGTAGAGAAACAACTTGTTTGTTTTCAGCTGATCAGATGAAGGGTGTTCTCCTCCCAGAATCGTTATTCCTGACACAGACGGAAAAAGTTAGTCAGCAAGAGACGGTTCGGATTTAAAACCACCAACTTGCGCACTGCAGACAAGTGGACACCACACAGTGCCAGCTGGGACTAAAAGCACAGGAAAGTTCACAAGATGATCACTGGGAGGGTTTTGACAGCAGATGCATGCGTGCATTGCCGTTTCTTGACAAATAGCCGATGGCCGAAATTAGCACCCATATGGTACTTGCAATGGAGCGGCAAAACAAATAGCTTTTTATGACTCAAATGTATATAACAAGGGAGGCTTCACCCACAGACCCTTCACCTCCGTATCCATGATGATACATCATGAGAACAATCACCCGGGGAACTTGCTTCTGGCCAGCTAGGAGTTGGTTGGACATTGCAAGCTCTCCTCTTCTGCTGACTCCAAGCTGCACAGTGTGCAAAGGGATTCAGGCCCAGCTGATTTCAGGATGTCATGGCCAGGAGGGATTCTATTTGCAATGTTCTAGGACGCTGCTGGAAAATATACAAGCACCTTTAGTACAGAAGACCCTCGTGTCAGCCTGCACACTCCAATCTCGCAGAGGCTCTAGTTCTAAGTCTTGGAAAAAGAGGCTAACCTGTGAGACCACCTTCTGCCTACCCTCCATTCTGTTACGTTATTACAGCGCTCATCAGAAATGCCTTCCTGCTTCCCAGGTGCCCACCTGCCCAGCCAACCCTATTCCTTGCAGCAATAGCTGTACCGGCTGCACTGAGTTGCCTCTTGTTCTCTGCGAGTTTATGTAGGTGGTTCCTGCAGCAACATGTCCTGGAGTGAGGCCAAATAATTTTCATACCTATGTCCCCTTTATCACATCTCAGTGCACAGCCATGAAGCAGAATGCGAAGGTCAGAAGGCGGCGTGTGATAGTGTAGGAGTTCGAGCAGTGGCTGGGAGCTTTTTGGCATGTAAGCGAAGACAGCTCTTCGGTGGCAGAAAAATGATTCCTCCCTATTTAATGCCAAGAAATAATCCTCTTTACGTAACTTAGACTGAGGTGAAACATTCCAGTGGTTGAACATTCCACTCGGACTGCAGTAGGAAACAGCTTTACCTGTACAAGTTAACTCTCAAACTGCCAGTTCAGCTCAGATCTTCACTTGGACTGCTACTGTAGGCCCCTGAGATGTCAGTTTTTGTATACAGTGAACACCACCTATTAATATTAATAATAACTGATATTAAGGTTGCACTCAAAGATCCCATCCCGGATCACGCTCCCACTGTGCTAAGCACAATGTATAAACACAGAGGAAATCATAGGCCTCGCCTCAAGGAATCCGAAGTCTAAGAAGGCCTCAAGTGCATCCACGGAGTTTAGAAAGGGAGTTGAAGGCATCCGAGTCAGGGGTGGAGCATATAACTGAACCAGAGTCATAGGTCCCAGTGCTCTCTGTCCTAACAAACAGCCAACACATTTTGTATCCATCTGCTTGCGTGCCTCTTCCCATGGAGGAGGATGGATGGAAAGAAATCGGCATCGGTTTCATTCCTGGCTCACCTGGTTTTAACAACTTGTGGCTTCTTTGCATTCCTAGGCAGTGGACCCATCCAGCTGTGGCAGTTCCTGCTGGAGCTGCTCACCGACAAGTCCTGCCAATCCTTCATCAGCTGGACAGGCGATGGCTGGGAATTCAAGCTCTCGGACCCAGACGAGGTATGGCCCATTATAACTGATCAGAGACCATTGAAAATGCTTAGGAGAATAACCTAAGTCCTCTCTCTTCATGGCTGAGATGCTACAAGTCCTGTCAGTATGATCCTGTGTGTGTGTAGGGAGGTGGGGGGTGGAACAAGGTAGTAGGGTGTTGCTCCCTCAATGTTTTCTGGAAAAATCAATGGTTTAGAGTGCCCATGAAAGTCTGATTATTAATGAGCAATTATGAATTGTATTGCAGTGGCATCTAGAAGCGAGGTGAAATAGTTCATACCAAAGTTGGGATTTTTTGGTGAAAAATGAAAATTCAGCAACAGCAAAAGGCATCGCCACTTTGTGTCATTTTTTGCCCAATCGTTTCTGTTGGGAGGAAAGATAATTCTGAGACGAATAAAGCGTTTCCATTTTTCAGTTCAAAATTTCCTTTAATTGTATTTAAAAAAACAGTCAAAAATGGTTGAAATTGAAACAAAGTATTGCAACGTTGTAAAAGAAAAAAAAGTTTAGTTGGAGCCAAAACAATTTTTCTTGATTTGCCAAAAATCTTGAAAAAAATTGTTTTCAGTTTTACCCGACACTATTTCCCCTTGATGTTATTTGCACAGCTCTAGAGGCCACCAGCCGTGGACCAGGCCCCAAGCATGCTAGGCGCTGTACGCACAAAAAGACAGTCACTGCCCCAAAGAGCTTAAAATTATCCCCTTCCCCATCTCCTGTCTTCATCTGATTCCACTTTATGATCCCCCAGCAGAGTCCCTGGGTGCTGTTTCACCAGCCCAGGAGGGATTTGATCTGCTGGCCCTCTGCAAACCCTGACACTCAACTCCTCCCTGAGTCCATTTTTCATGATGAGAGGGAGAAAAAGCTTATCACCATTAGCTCTCCCAGCGGCAGGAGCTCCCAGCCCTTTATCACCCAGCCAAGCCAGGAGGAAGAGACTTATTTTTAATATCTACACTTTAATCTATGGGCCCTTCTTCACCTTTGTTCTCCTCTTCCAGGTTGCCAGGCGATGGGGCAAGAGGAAAAACAAGCCCAAGATGAACTACGAGAAGCTGAGCCGTGGGCTTCGCTACTACTATGACAAGAACATCATCCACAAGACGGCCGGCAAGCGCTACGTGTACCGTTTCGTCTGCGACCTGCAGAGCCTTCTGGGCTACACGCCCGAGGAACTCCATGCCATGCTGGACGTCAAACCCGATGCCGATGAGTGAATCGGACCAGCCAGACTGTGTGGAAGGTTGTGACGTGTCGGTCTGGAGATTCAACAAGACCTTAAAAAAAATTTTTTTTTTTGCAGTTAAATATCTATCTATATTTTTTCAAGAGCAACTCAAATTTGACATTTTTGATGGGGAGAGGAGGGTGGGCAAAGTCAAGCTTTTGGCTGAATTTGACAATGTTTGGTTGGGAGAAGAAAGATGGAACTTTTTATCTGAAAGTTCTATGAGAGGTTTTTGAGGGTGAATTTCTTAGTTTTAAGGAAGCCAGAAAAATATAGCTCACTTAAAAAAAAATTAAAATAAACCCTTCCCATCTCATACCATCTGGAAACATTATTAATGAAAAGATCCCCTTGATTACTGTGTTACCAGCGCAACAAACTGACAATTCAGGAAGTGACAAGACTCCTAAGGATTATGCGATTGGTTCTTTTATTGATGGGAGGGGCAAAGGGAAGGTGGAACTTCCTGTTTCGTGGGAGGGGATGACATAGGAAAAAACAAGAACAGTTCTTGTTCCTTTGCTTTTTCTGTCGGTTATTTTTCTGTTACACAAAAGACAGATTTTTTTTTTAGGAGGGACCAAGATTTTTTTAATTATTATTTGTTAAAATTTTATTTTATTAAATTTTGTGCCAGTATTTTTTTTTAAATAGTCTTAAGCTCCAAGATGGTCTCAGTCTTGCAATATTGTGTGTGTATGTATGTTTCTATTATGCCAGCAGAGAGTTTTATCACAGTGAAGAAAAAATAATTGTTTATGTAGACCCCACTGGAGAAGTGTAGCGCTCTGACTTATGATCTCTGAATCTTATGT